TGTTTTAGATGAATTATTCAAATCAAATCCACTTTTTGATTTGGCCGAGTGTTCGAAAAAATGGGCGACCGAGTAGACTTGAAGATAATTGCAAGGATCGTGCCGTAGCCGTTATCATCCAACCGCGTCACCACTTAGGCTTGCTTTCTTTGGATCTTTCCCATGTCAAAATTTAACCGATCAAACGTCTCTTTTCTTCCGATATTAATTAATCAATTGTTCATGTATTCTTCTCCAAACTTTTACGAGTCAGTCCTACAATGTTTATCTCATCGCATAATTATAATACAATGATCGATTTATTTAGGAAACTGTTATTGATACTTCAGAAATTTCATTTTACACTCTTCACAAAAGCAATTTTCTGTCTAATTATAGAAAATTTGGAGTGCAAAATGTGATTTTTGAAGTGTCAATAACAGTTTCCTTGATTTATTGTGTAATTGAGTCAAAATAAAAAGACACCAAACACCATTAGTCACGCAATGAGAAGGCTAAAAAGAAGATAGTCGATTGAAAAACCTTAAAATTATAAGATATGTAAAACAAAACTTATATAGTCGACTTGCTTTCGGTGATTATATTCCTTCCCTCCCGCAAGTGCAAGACTTTTCTATCTCGCGATGTATACCTCTTCTTTCCTTACTCACAAGTCACAAATCATGTGATTCCCTAAGACATATAAGTATTTTTGCCTTTCGAACTCACAACGATGTATATTTTCATTTGTGTAATTTATTTGGTAATTTGAGTGTAAATGAATCATTCTTTTATTGCGTTAGTTAGGCTAAATCTCGTTCTGAATACTATGACAAAAAGTAACACAATGATGTAACAATATCCAACTTAATTAAACGATTTAATTTTTCAACTTTTATAATACATGTACTAGACAGTAGTCTAAATTTGTATTCAAAAAGCACTAGTCCACTATTTTTAGGCCTCATTTTAGTCTTGAAAAAGTTGTATGAACAATCATGTGTTTGTACAATAATGTATGATAAAGATGGAGATTATGGTTGAAGCGTGCCTTCGTCGCAATTGCCTAGCAATTAATAAGAAATAGGCAGATGCCCAACAAGGAAAGTGGTTGGCTTAGGGGAAGATTCCAAATTTGAAATCTCCACACAATTACAAGTGGAGAGAACCAAAGTACGTGTACGACTTTGTTAATTAAACAGTCAACTAAAAGAGAAAGTGGGGTTTCATAATTGAATTTGACACCCATTGATGAAGTATGGCAAAGCAATTTGTATATTCCGTGCACATCGGTATACTGGTATTTCATATCAATAATATAATGACACGTAAAGAGAAATTATACTTTTTTTGTATTATTTATACGGAAAGTCATTGTGGTGATATATGAATAAAGTTAAAGTTTCACCATAAAATCAATGTCAATGTGGGGAGTAACTCAACTTATTTGTAAGTCTATGCAAAATCTTTCTTTCCATTAAGGTAAGATTCATTCACAGGATGATTCATTAAGCTTGGTGAATTTTCAAGCCTAAGATGTGGTAAACACAAACAAAGTGACTGGAGCACGTGGTTGTTCGCTTTACATTTGAGACAACTAACTCTGATACCATGTGGAAAAACTAATTGTAAATGTAGAAAATAGTCAAACTTACTTATAAGCTCATGCAAGGTCCGTTTTCTCATTAATGTGGGATTGATTCTCAACAATGTTTCATAAAAGTCATTCTTTGTGGTATGGGGAGAAATATTTAAAAGTATAATGAACATTAGTCATGTGGTGTATCATTTTCACGTGTTATAAAAAGCAAATACTTATAATTTTATTTGAATAAAATAATAACGTAAGGTCTACTTAATGCTACGGTCTAGTGTCTTCCTCCTCACTTATAAGTGAGAAGTTTTAAGTTCGATTATCGCCGGAGGTGAATTTGAATCACATTATTGCTAAAACTTTTGAAGCTAAACTCACTCATCTTCTTAGTATAGATAATATCGTTTATTCACAAATAAAAATAAAATCAAAATAAAACTAAAGTGATTGTGTTCAAAATACAATGAAAAATTATGGGGTGTGATATTTACACACCCCTTTTCACTTCTTCTACACCTTTTTAGTTTTCAACCATTAGATCAGATGAATTGAAGAAGATCAATGGACATAAATTAACAAATGATGTGTGAGAAGTAAAAAGAAATGTGTGGATAGCACATCCCAAAATTATTTGTGAGAGGTGGGAAGCTTCCTCAGATACAGGCTGGCCCTAATAGCTAACACATAGTTGTGTGATTAAAATCTTGAGTTGGCTCGTAGCCACGTAATTTCAATTCAAAATCATTTGCCCCCAACCCCACTACTTTCCAATTTCCTGCAATACAAACAGCTCAGCAGGGACAGTGAGTACCTTATTTGCAACTTGCATTTGATGGCGATTGACCCTCTCCCGTCTATTTCTCTGCAGTTAATTCTTATTTTTTAAAATATCTTCAATTTAAAGGAAATATTTTTCTCATCATCCTCAAATGATTGGGATGCTCACCACATATTAATTATCGTTGAATGAGTTTAAATTTCGAGATCTGTATAATTAATAGACACAAATATTAAATTTAAAACTTATCTAATAATATTAAGTAAGGTCATGAGCGTTGTCACGATTTAAAATTAAATATTATTTCAAAAACGCTCATGACCTTACTTAATATTATTTGCTAAGAATACATCCAACTTAGAAGGAATGAGTATTGGCGCTTATCACAATTTCTTCGTGACTACGTACACACGTATTTTATGGGCTAGATGTTTCCACATATTACTCTGATTGGTGGAAGGCAGGATACGTCCACACTGACAAGCATTCATGAACTACTTAATAGGAAAGGAGGAAGATTCTTTGTCCTTCCACTTCCCGTGCCCTCTAACGCCTTCCTGTTTTGTGTGGTCACGGTTAAGCTATTTTAATATTTTATATATTTTTTTATAAAGATAATAAGACAAAAAAAATAGTAATATAAATATTGACGTGATTTAACCGTGACCACACAAACAAGAGGGCACAGAAAGTGGGAGAGCAGAGAATCTGCCTCCAATAGGAAAATGATCATCGCCGGATCTATTTCTTAGGAATTCTAGGAATCCAGCGATCGTGATCGTTCATCGTACATCATGCAATAAAAAATCATTTCAAAATTTAAAATTAAATATAAATAGTACATAACAAAAATTGACCGCATAATGTACGATAAACGGTCACGATCGCATGATCCCTAAGATCCCTAGAAAAAGGATCTAGCAAGGATCCTTTTCCTACGCAATAAGTGAATATTTATTGATTAGAAACCGCATTTTTCGTACTTAAAAAAATCATAACTTTCGTTTGGTGACTAGGATTATATTTGAGTGAATGACTCATAAAACTCAAGGTACATTTAATTCAAATAACGGGAATAACGTTCCATTTTGAGGAAATCAGAATAAATTAGACAAGAACAAAACTTATCTTTCTAATCCTACCATTATGTTGGAATTGAAATATACAAGTTTGTAGTTTATTTATGTATGATCCATCTTCTGCCTTTAAATTGGACAAAATTGCATTCATTTCTTCCTTCAACGTGCTTTGAAATTCGGAATATATCGATCCAATCTTGATTGTCAAATAAGCCCGCACTATTTATATATCAATGTAACACAAGAGCCATTGAATTTGTGAGTGTGTGTGTATATATATATTTATATTTTATTGAAGGAAGAATAACAACTTCATGTTAAAAATTACAGATAAGGGATAAGACCGTTGAATGTGACTGCGTTGGACAATAATGTTCCATCGCCAGCTTGTCTAAACATGTTTTAGTATTTGTCTAGTATTGAGGTGCTTCTATAAAAAATGGGTATAAAAAAAAACTGAGATAAAAAAGATGTTTGGTAAACACTTAAAAACAATTTATTTTCATTGTTTTTGGTGAAAGAAAAGTTGAAGACGTGAAACAACAAAAATGAGTTTATTCTCACAGCACAACAGAAACAGTTTATTTTCAACGCACATTAATACCAAACCAGCCCTTAGAACATTCATAACCAAGATAACATACGAAACCCCGAGCTCAGGTGGGCTTGTATGATGTGGCCCATCCCTTACTTGCGTACGTTTCGTAGGGCCCAACACCATTACTAATCTAAAGAAACCAAATAAAAATGAAAAAGAAGTAAAGTTTAGTACGAAACCTATGAATTTCACATGCCTTACTCTTTGAGTTTGAGTTATAAGAATGAGAACTATATTAAAGCTTTTCACATGCGTACATTTTGACACTTGCTTTTCAAAATTTGATATTGCAAATTGAATACGTTATGGTTTTTCACGCTTATAATTCAGGGTGACAATTTCAGACACGACACGTTATACGAATTGAAACTCGCACGAATACAATAACTTACAAGTACACAATTGACATGAGTTAAACACGATTAACATTGGTCAACTAATGTTATACTCACATGGCATATATTTAAATAGATAAACCTAAGCAAAACTTATTGCCACATCCATTCCACAATATGACTCTCTGATTTTAAATTAGAGCGAGAACATCACTACCCTTTCATATTGGTGCCACCTTACAACAATGGCATTCAACTTTTGAGGTTAGCATAAATAGTGAGGAAAAGTGGGGGAAAAGGTTAGGAGTAGGATAAGAGCATCCCCAATGGGGGTTCTATCCTCCTTGAGGCTATATATAAAACGCCGGGAGGGAGGAATTTGCCAATTATAAAAGTTCAGGAGGATAATTGGCTAAAACTAAAGTTCAAGAAAAAAAATTGACCAACTATAAAAGTTCAGAAAGTAACTGACTAAAATTAAAATTCATGGAGAAATTTGGTAGCGTCTTACAAGTCTCGGAGGAAATCGACATATAGCTAAAAAAAAAAAATGATATTAATCACAAAATTTTATTTGCTTTCTCTGGGCCCATATGGAACATTATCGCCTTACCGTACGGCCCAATATATTATTTTAAGACCATTGAAATACATGGGCTTTTGGTTAGGCCCGTATGTTGTCTTGTTCCTCTCTGCGTCCCCGTCTCTCTCAAAACGTAGGGTTTAAGCTTCCATTTCACCGATTCGGCAAACCATGCAAACCCTTAAACGCATAGCAACACAGACCGAGCTCCACCGACTCTCGTCCACAATCGCCAAAACCCAATTCATTTCAGCCGCCAATCTCCGAGCCTTTTCCTCCAACTCAAAGAAAGGCGGCGGCGGCGACGACGACTGGAACGACGCGTGGGAGACGGCGTGGCTCCCACCCGACCTCTCGGGAAACAACAGCAGAGCTCCATGGGAGACCGACGTCAATTTCTCGTCTCCCGAGTCGAGCATCGTGCTTCCGTCGGACGCCGACCCCGAGACGAAGGCGTTCGTGGAGGACATGAATGAGAATTGGAACGAGAGGCGGAAACCCAAAGAGGAAAGGAAGCAGTATCGGCAGAGCCAGAGTGGGTCGTCGCTTTATAGCTTGGAGAGCTTGAAGAAGGACTATCGGGTGAAGAAACAGAGGATTCACGCTGGCCTTTGGATGAAGGAGATTGAGAAGCAGGAGGAGGCTAAATTGGTCGACTCGAATTCGATTGGCGGGGGTGACGACATCGAGCGATTGCTCGATAGTTGCGCTGAGTATGTTAATCTCTCTCTGTTTATCTCTGCATATACATGAATGTATCTGTTTGTGTATCGTTTGTGTGTTTTAAGTGATTTTAGAATTGATGAAAGCGTTTTCCACTATGAAGCATGGATACGGATACGGCGATACGATACGACATGACACGACGATACGGAAAATCTAAAAATTAAGATATGATACGCTATGGATACGGCAAATAAAAATGTATATAGCAACAAAAATATACATTTCAAAACATAATTCATCATTCAAATTCAAGTACATTTCAGCTGTTAGAGAAGGAAAGTTCGAAATCTAATACTCTTTATACAGTAGAAGAAGTGTGAGAGTCCTATTCATGGTTTTAATTAGAGGGAAGCTCTTTGTATTTAGCAACTTTCAATTATAGACGTCTCCTATTAATTTTCTCTTCCTTGTTACCTTTTTTTGAAAGTGTAAATGTATCTTAAAAGCAGGATACGTGTATCCTAAATGTAGGATATGCATATCCATCATGTCAAATTCGTGTCTATCAACTAGGATATGTGTCGGACGAGTATCTAAGAGTATCAGGCAAGTATCGTATCCGATCAAGTATCAGATACGGGATACGGGACCAAACAGAAGTATCCGTGCATCATAGGTTTTCCGATATCTAAACGCGTTAATTGACAAGTTTGGCAGAAAAAGTAAAAGTGCTTCGGGGTTAGAAAATCACTTTGAATTGAAAGGGAAGCATTTCAAGCATTTTTTACTGAACCTCTGGACTTTTTATGTGAAATTTCGATATGATTATGATAAAAGTGCTTATTAGTAGAAGTACTTTCTAGAGAAGTATGGTGGGTTTTGTTCTGCTTCATCAGTTGGTATGAACTATGGAATGTGAATGTTCTGCTATCAATTTGATGTGAGTTTGTATCCGATTTCAGATGTTGCACTTGCACATGTAAAGTTTTGACTCATTATGTTTTAGAGCTTGTAGCGGCAAAGTTTTTTGGAACGTTGCTTGCGAATTTACATTTTTGGTGTACTTTTTTAATACTTGCAGCATTTTTGACTCCCCTAACAACGATTTGGAGAACTCTAAAGCTCCGAGTGCTTCTGACCACAAAAACAAACCTGATGGTTGGGAAACTACATCCAAGGCTGCAGAGGGAAATATATGGGAGATGACACAGAGAGAAGAAGATATACTTCTTCAAGAGTTTGAGCGTCGGATTGCATACAATAAATTTCAGGTGTGTAAATTTGCTCACACAGATAATAAAAATGTAGGGAACAACTTGTAGGATGAGCCCTTAACTTGACATTGTTTGTGTGAACCTATTTCATATGTTAGAAAAGTTCATCTTGTACAGGTTTTGTAGTTTTAGTATGGTTCCGTTCTTGTTGAAATGAGTAATTGGAAGAGCCATCGGATTAATAACTCAATCACAAAAGTAGCACATGGATTGGTGCACCAGACTTTGTATAACTTTCGAAATTTGACTATCGAATGCTCTAATGCGAAGTCTTTATGCACAAAGTTCTGAATTCATTCGTTTTATTAAACGCATGACAATCTTGTTAACGATTTCTTTCTGCTGTCTCGATGCTTACCGCTGGTATATATGACATTGGCATGCAGATTGCTAGTTTTATCAAGACTCACATATTTAGCCGGAGGAGACCAATTGATGGGTGGAAATACATGATAGAGGAGTTAGGGCCAAATGCGAGGAAAGGAAAGGGTTCTGTTTCCAGGCTACCAAGTCTATCCGATGCGTCAACCCAACCCTTCAAGGAGGAGAAGACTCTGATGAGCAGCAGCAGTCTTTCATCCTATAAGGAAAGGTAGTTTGGTCTTAGGCCACTTTCATACATTCCGTTTCTGCCTACGGGAGATATCAGCACCGAATGTATTCATAGTTACCGTATCACTTACTGCAAGTTTTGATATCTGGCTTTCTCAATGTACGACGGTACCATCCCTTGGCAACTGAAAGTGCAATTAGTGCAAGTGAATATATGCCAAGATCCTATTGCCCACATTTTCGCTAAAATTAATCGATTACCAACGAGAGAAACTTACAAGCATGGAAGTTTTATGGTCGGTGGAGTTCAAGACCGGTCGGGAGACCAAGATGACAATATCCCAAACTATGTACGCGATGACATGTGAACGAGTTAAAGCAAAAAGGTATGGTAATCAATAGATATTGCCATCTCAGTATTCTCGTTTCATGTAAGTTTTTTGCCGGGGCAAGTTCCAACGAAAAAAGGTGCGCGTGACAGTCACTAGATACTGCTAGCTTGGTATTCCAGTTGCATGAACTTTTTGAAATTTATTGAATGCAAAAATTGAAGGATTTGGAGTTACGGTATTTGAGTGCCTGATTTTCTGGCGTGAGCTCAAAACAATTCAAACGCTGCCGCCGCCGTGCCAGCGCCGCATGGCTGATGATATTGATTGCCAAGTCGGCACGTCTGGGTCAAAGACTCACACTTTCGCCCACACACTACTCCGTCTACCAAGATCTCAGCCTCATTTCTCTTTTACAATCCTGCATAAAAGTCTCAGAAGTCTCACAGATCCATGGCTGCATGGTCAATACTGGTCTCGACCGCCTTCCTTTTCCCTCCAGCAAGCGTCTAGCCTCTTCCATCCAAGACATCCAATACGCCGCCGCCATTTTCAACGGCATACAAAACCCATATGTCTTCATGTTCAATACCATGCTCAGAGCCTACTCCATCAGCGATGATCCAAAGCATGCTTTTCATATCTTCAACAACTTGAGAGCTTAGAATATCACGCTGGACCAGTTCTCATTCGTCGCGACAATCAAAGCCTGCGCTCGTGAATCGACCATTGGGATCGGCCGAGGGATTCATGGGGTTGTTATGAGGTCTGGTTTTGGACTGTTTGTCAATGTACAGAATACCCTTTTGCAATTTTATTGTGTTTCCGGAAAAATTGAAGATGCCCGGAAGGTGTTTGATGAATTTCCTCAAAGAAATGATTCGGTTTCGTTGAATGCTTTGATGGGTGGGTATCTTCATGCGTCTCAGCCGCATGTGGTTGTAGATTTGTTCAAGCAAATGTGTAGTATCGGTTTTGGAGCTAGTGCGACCATCGTTTTTAACCTTTTGTCTGCCATTGGTGATTTAGAGGGTCACCTTGCAGGAGAGTGTATTCATGGCTATTGCATCAAGATTGGCTTCAGTTCGGATTTACATGTTCTTACTGCTTTGATCGATATGTACGTGAAGAAGGGGCAAATCGACTTTGGGACGTCGGATTTTTGATGGAGTTTCTGTGAAGGATGTTGTGTTATGGAATTGTTTGGTTGATAAGTACGCAAAATGTGGCATGGTAGAAGAAGCACTAGCCTTGTTACGCCTGATGAAACTCGAAGGAATGAAACCGAATTCATCTACATTGGCGGGGTTGCTGTCAGGTTGTGCTGCTTCTGGGTCTGTAAGTGTAGGGAGTTGCATTAAGGACCATGTGGAAGACACAGCTCTGGTTGATATGTATGCTAAATGTGGGTTTTTGGATAAGGCACTTGACATCTTTGAGAGCATGGAAAGCAAAGATGTGAAATCCTGGACTGCCATGATTTCGGTTTATGGTGTTCATGGCGGGCGGGTAGTGCCATAAGGCTATTTGACAGGATGGAAGGAGGGCTGTCAACCTAATGAGGTCACTTTCTTGGCAGTTTTAAGTGCTTGCAGCCATGGAGGGCTGGTGGCAGAGGGAGTTAGATGTTTCGAGATGATGGTTTGCAAGTGTGGCCTTGTGCTGAAGGTGGAACACTACGGTTGTATGGTCGATCTTTTGGGTCGTGCGGGGTTGTTGGAGGAAGCACATAAACTAATCGAAAGCTTGCCCATTAAGACTGATGTTACAGCATGCCGTGCACTGCTTTCCGCTTGCAGGGTTTATGGAACTAAACGATGATCATCCCACCAATTCAATGCTATTATCAGGTACTTACGCAATTGCCGGAAGGTTGCCGGATCATATAACAAGAATGCAGGAAATGGAAGATGAAAATAAGACGGGAGAAGTGAAATTTCGGCCTGTTCGAATAGAAGATAACCTGATCAAGGAAGCTGGACTGAGCTCAATTGAGATGGATAGTTGTGTTTAAAGAACTGTGTTCAACTTGATATACAAAAAATAAGATTAGAGATTGATATTTTTGGTACAAATCTAGAATTCTCAAATGTCTTTCTCATCTTATGGATGTCCTTTTCATTTTCCAATATCTGGAAAATCTCTCCCTACAGTTTTGACATTCTATATTATCAGTCTACCTGCGAATTCCGGCTCCATATCCTTCGATCTATCTCAGCGGAATGATTTAGGGGTTAAAAAATTTACACATTCCGGTGAGGAAGAGGATCGTTGGATGTACGCATATGAGCTTTGCACCGGAGAGCTGACAGCATATTACTCTGCACCTTTTATATTGTGCTGCTCACATAACTTTGCCCCATTTTCAGCCCACCATCTCTCCGCCGCTTCTTCAGTGAAATGTCTCCGACTGTCGGACAACAGTTTAAATTTCAGCAAACAAGATAGAGAGCATCAAATGTATTTCATCAATCCGCACCGTAGTATAATAAAATCGACTGTAAAAGAAAGAGAGTGAATTTTCTGCAGCCTAAGCCACGGCCTTAGATGTTTAGTTGGTTGTATGTATCAAACTGTGAAAATAAAGGGGGAGGGGGAGGGGGAGAGAGATACCTGAAGCGAACACGCACGAGCTCATTACTGCCGCCTGGCAAGGAGCGTAGAGTTATATATACACCAGGTTCATCTTGTAGCACCCGCTCTGACTTTCCGGTTGGTGATTTAGTTCCATTAGCTAAGATTCGATCCATTGAATTGCCGTTGGATAAAGTTTGCGAAGTAATTATGTTTGACAGAGAGGGCTCTTTGGATAACTGGTTTCGAAAGCTGATTGCATGAGAAATAGAACCTGTGTTGCAGTGACTGATCTCTCCTTCAGGCATTCTTTCAGACATCTCCTTCAACTGTTGGACAAGTAAAATCATTGTGACAATGGAAAATAATGGACAGTAGGATAGTTTCAATGCCACACCCAACAAATAAACGAATTTGCAACCTGAGCAGTTAGAGACTTGATAACTTCTTTAGCAGATTTGCGATTTTCAGCTTCATCTGCGGCTATTGCAGAGACCTCCTTCAATTTCTTTGATGTTCGTTGAAGTTCAGCTTCAAGATGTTGGGATTTGAGTGTAAGGTCTTCTACCTACATTGTTTTTGGAACAATATCAGCTTAGTGTATACACATTACTTTAACTAATTTTTGTATGGATGCAAATTTTAATCCAATTCCTCGGTTCATAAGCGAGGCTAGTTCCTCTCCCTTCAGCAGTTACAGAATGTCAAAGATTCAGACCCCAGAACTCACCAAAGATTTAGCTATATGCAAGGATGTCATTAGGTATTAGACTGTAGACATTGAAGCACTATAAAAATGCTTACCTGTGTCCTTAAATGTATGATTTCTTGGCTCAAACTTCCATTTATAAGCTTTGAATCCTCAAGAATGATTTTTTCAGAAGATCCGCGTTGACTTGACCTTCCTGAAACAGGAGATGTGTACCGAGAAGCCTTTTTAGAGGCAGGAACTGAAGGCGAAATAACTTTTTCTGAATCTCCAGTGAGAGGAGTTGATGCCTTTGTTAAATTAAAACCCCCTAACTGCAAAGGTCCAGTCAACACTGGGAAGACACGATTATCACGCACTTCTGGTTTTCTTTCTTGCTTAAGCTGCTTGCTTTCGCTCTGGTTGTTTGAGCCAAAAGATGAGAGTCTGGAGAGTGTTGCCCGTAGCATAGGGATCAGATTCTCTTTATCTGTCACCTCATTGGATTTAGGACACATATTTGGACTTCTAATTGTAGGACTTCGCACAGCAGAACTGGCTTCTGCAGCCTTCTTCAGTTTACTATAACACTCGTCGCACACCCGAAATGGCTTGTTCATATCTGGAGCCAAGGCAGCTTTCAGAGATTTCTTGCTGCTGCATGCTTTGCAGAATACTAACCCACAGTTGTAACAATTGTGACGTTTTCTTCTGAAACCAAAGGGATTGTGACAATCAGAGCAAACGGAATGGTCAGCATTTGATACCCATTTATGAAGACAAATGACCGCCGTTAGGTTTGGACCACATGCTACACTCTTTACTTCTTTATCCTTCATACAATCAACGAGGGTAGGCGTATGTCTGTGATCATTGTCTCCATGGCCTAGTTGCCCGTTTGAACCCCTTCCCCAAGTATAAACCTCTGCCTTGGAAGTCAAAACTGCAACATGATAAGAACCGCAGGCAATTTCTTCAACAAAACTATCTGCAATTTTACCCTCGACCAGGGTGGGAACTTTCCCATCAGCTGAAGGATTTCCAAGCTGTCCATAAGCAGCACTTCCCATCGTATATACTTGTCCTGAGGTTGTAAGCCCAACTGTGAGATTATGGCCGCAGGCTACCTGACAGATGTTTTTATCAATCAATGCAGCTACGCATTCAGGAACTAGTTTAGATTGTTCATCACCATGTCCAAGTCGGCCTTTATCACCAGCACCCCAAGTGTAGAGCTTCCCATATGAAGAGTTACCAGAAGTCTCAGGGTAAGAAGATTCGTTCATTACTTCAACGACTGCAGCAGTGTGCCAAATACCACAAGCAATCCTTGTTGTTCTTAGCCCACGCAAAGTTTCCACCTCCCGTGGCGTACTTGTGCTACTGTGATCCCCATGCCCTAAGGCACCAAAAGTATCATCTCCAAAGGTAAATAACTGGCCACCAGATGTCACTGCAGCTGTATGCCACGGTCCACAAGCTATATAGGATATGTGTATACCTTCCAAGTGACCGCATACCTTTTTGGGAATCCAGTGACTAACTTCACTTCCATGCCCAAGCAAGCCAAAATTATGAATACCATCACCCCATGTATAGAGATCTCCAGAAAGTGTAACAGCACAAGTGTGATATTCCCCACATGCCACTAATTCAACATTCATCCCACTAAGAGTGTCAATGAGCTTTGGGTGGGAAACATCTGTATCGACACCGTGACCAAGTCTGCCTCCTAACTCCTCTCCCCAGCTGAAGATTTCCCCTTGCTTGGTGACCAAAACAGCATGTCTGGCACCACAAGCAATTCCGTGAACATCTACGACCACTGTTGATTGCAATACCTTAGGCAGAAGAGCATCCGTCCTGGAACCATATGAGCTCCCTACTCTATCCACACCGCCTCCAAGTACTCCACCACCAACACCTTCACCCCAAATTAAAACATCTCCTAAAGCATCAAAATCATCTTGACAAGAACCTTGACTAGACGAGCTTACAGCACTAGATAAACTAACCCGAAATGCTTCAGAAGCAGAATTTCGACCATTGGAGTTATCCACAGATACAGGTGATAATGACGCATTCGAGACTGATTCAGCTTGTGTGGCACTCTTGGGGTTGGCAGTATAAGATACTATGTCAGCGAATGCTTGTCCTAATCTACTCTGATGGATATTCTCCAAAGGAACTCCCTCAGTATCTCCTGGATCCTGCAGTATTATGTAAAAACACCAAGAAAAATAAAATGTAAATGCCTGATACATCAAGTCAAGAGAACTTTATTCCTTTTTTTGTTTCCTTACAAAATAAAGAATAAAAGATAAGTCACCCCAATACAGAATGGTGTCCTTGATGGAGAATGTCGTCGAGTACGAGCATGGGGACTATCTATTGATGTGCCCTCCAATCTTGATTCGCTTCTCCAGTTCCGATAGTTACCTCGAGTGATTATTGCCTTAAGACCAACAAGCCAAACTTCAGCTTCATTCTTGTCTTTACATATCTGTCCAACAGGGAGGTAAAGTATTAAACCATGATACTACAAATGTAATTTCTTAGTTGCTTTTTTCCTTTTTCTTTTTTTAGCATAAGGTTCCCAGTTTTTTATAGGCCTTACGCGTGCGATGCAGTTG